ATATCTCAGGAACTATTAGTCCTAGAGCTTCCAAGTATTTTTTTTTTTTTTTTTTAATATGCCATGAAAAATTGCTGGAAATAGTTTTCAAGTTTGTAAGTTGACCGCTAGGGGGCGCAACGAACACTCGAAAATATAATACTGTAATTATCTTCAAAAAACGCCCACTTAAGGTATCCTAAAAATATGATTATTGAAATCTTGATGAGATTACGAAAAAATTCTGTTAAGGATTTTTTGCCCTAACTCTCCAAATAAGAGGTGGGGGAATGTTCAAACTGTCAGGAACAAAAGTTATATAACTTTTTTGTTTTCCAACCGAGAAATACTATGATTTCTCGAGATATGTGAAAATTTCCCACAAATAATGTATACTATTTTATTTTGAACCATTAATTATTGGAAAAAATAAGGTAAAAATATGACAAAAATGGAATTTCGACTGACAGTCTGACACCGACATTGACATCTTATGAAATTTCAACAATATAAACACATGTGACATCTACTTCTTAATACAAACATTGCACCTGGATTTGTGTTAAGGTGAGAAAGAACAATTTATCAGGGCCGGAAGTGAGTTCTCCAGGCCGAAAGTGACAGGAGAACAGTCACTTTCGGCCTGCTATAAAGTGAACAAAAGTAAAATGACATTTTCGAATCTCCAAACCAGTAAGGAATGCATTAATTATATATATGGTTCAAAATAAGATGTTTTTTTTATCTTGAATAGGCAAGCGAAAGTGAAAGTAATGACTAGCGTGTTTGACTTTCGCGTTCGCTTGCCTATTCAAGATTAAAAAAAATGTTTTCCTGAGGAGAACAATGAAAAATTTGATACATTACACGCTGGAAAAGCCCTTTTAGGTGCTCGGAGGTATTCAAATAGCCGAGGCCTTCGCTTCGCCTCGGCAATTTGAATACACGCTCCTAAAAGTAAGCTTTCACAGCTTGGAATGTAAATATGTAACTATTTAGTTGTGCGGAGGTATTAAATACACCTCGCACCTAAAAGTGCACTTTCACAGCTTGGAATGTAAATAACTATAGTTCAATTCAAGTTCAATTCTTGATATTGTGGATTGGTAGCTACTTTCAGACTCACAGCTAGTTCTTCTTCTTACTAATTTTATAGTGCCGTAAAAAAATAAGATTTTATTTGTTTTATCCCGAAACGGAAGGCAAGGTTTTTTTCTGAAAATGTTCTTACTGAAAATATTTGTTTATTTATATTTTGGGCTAGGATAAAGATTCAGACTTGCGGTTTCCAACAGATCCCTTATTTTTTCATCCTCTTCCCATCTAAATTATAAAAAAAGCATCATTATATTTGAAATTTCCGAGAAAAAATGGAGAATTGTCGACTTTTAGACACAGCGCCGCCTAGCGGCAACAAAACAATTTAATTTTGTCATTTTTATCATGTATTTCATCAAACAGAAAAAAACTCTTCCAAATGACACCCGATTCATTAAAATCGGTTGAAAAACAAAAAAGTTATATAACTTTTGTTCCTGACAAGTTTCCCCCACCTCTTATTTGAGGAGTTAGGGCAAACAATCCTTAAAATTTTTTTTTCGTAATCTCATCAAGATTTGAATAATCATATTTTTAGGATACCTTAAGTGGGCGTTTTTTGAAGATAATCACAGTATTATATTTTGGCGTGTTCTTTGCGCCCCCTAGGGGTCAAACTTGAAAACTATTTCCAGCAATTTTTCATGGCCTATTTTATAAAAAAAAAAATTACTTGGAAGCTCTAGGACTGATAATTCCTGAGACGTAGCCGGCATCCTTCCTTATTTAGACACCCGGTACACTCTGTACACTTTGCGTGACTGGACACTGAAGCTGGGTTTGAGAGAGGTCCAGAAGGGCGTTTCCCAATAAAGGTTAGTTTGCATTGAACCTAGTCTGCTGCGTTCAAGACTCCCAGAAGGGCGTTTCCCAATAAAGGTAGTTTGCACTGGGAGGAGACTTGGCTAGAGGGGCTTTTCCCAATTGGGATACTTTGCACTAGCCTTAGTCTGCCGGTAATAGATCTCTGCGCGGTATTTATACCAAATTAATGCTGACTCGTCGACACAGACTTTAATAAAACTGATGTTCAGGGTTGTATTTAGTTAAGTAGTTGACATTATTTTTTATGAAGCTAGAATGTTGTGCTTTAGTTGCTGTTTGACCAAGTTCAGTTATTCCGTCGGTATAAGGCATCGTGTGCTAGAACATGTTACGGTTCCAGTTAAATAAAATTATGGAAATCTAGAGTTTTTTGTTTCCATTCAAAATTAATTACATTATTCATGTTTATCGTTCGTTCAATAAAACCCAGAAAAGGAAAAACTGAAATAACGACATACCTTTTGGAAGTTGATGGAGCGGAAATAAATTACTTTCCACCTTATTTCGGAAGGAGATAAAAGAACTGCTGCATTACAAAGCTAATTGCCATGAAAAAAAGTTGGATGAAATCCGACATGGTTTTTACGGCTTGTTGAAATTGCTCCGAACAAAAGCAGAGGGAAAAATATTTATTTATTATAATAAGATTTTGTATGTAAGCAATCGGATATAATCAAGTTAAGAGCAATGTAATGGCAGCAGGAATTGCTTTCGGTATATTTACGATGCGAAACTCGAATATGCTCATGAATATGTATATCTACAGAGAATCATATAGTCCGAGAGCTGGCAGTAAAAACAACTACCTCATAAGTTACCAGAGGGTTGAATTGATATGTCGGTACTACCTCACATGGTGATTTCAAATCCGTCTGTCTGCCAGGCGTAAGTGGTCGCTTTAATAGAATAAATTTTTTCTGAAAAGCCAAAAGAACGTCATCAACTACCTCATAGGTTACCACCGAGGTTACCACTGTTATTTTTGTGTCAAAATATTACTAAATATGTTGCTAACCAAAGTTTAAAAAAAAAAAACCTGGCAGACGGTCGCATTCAAATGGCAGACGGGTTTAAATAGTCCAGTAAATGCGTGTTTAAAACTGCGGTTTTCGTAACAAAACTGCGAATTTTTTTTTTTCAATGTTTTAGAGGGTGCTGATACCGAATTTATCGTTTGCTGCCTTGTAGGAGGTCGGCTTTATAGCCAAAAACGCAAAAAATCTGAATTTTTCAGCACTTTTTTCAGTTTTTGGTTTATATCTCAAAAACTATACGTTTTTTGAAGATGAGCGTTCACTACTAAATTGAAGTAAATGAAATTTACAACAAAATGCACCAGTCATCTTTGCTTTATGATAAACAGTCTCCGCGCTAGTGTTCAGTGAAAAACAATGTTTCTTTTGTATTTTCACAAAAACGTCTAAAACAACCACTTTCATCCCTTGCAACCCAAGAAATATAATATGTTAATAGACCCTTATATCACGTGCGAGTACATGAAATATCATTAAATAGATGTCTGCCATATTTAATTTTCTCATAAAGATTTTTATGAGAACCATTTTTGAAATAAGTTAGCTGGCAAGCCATGTGTGATGAAGACATTAATAAATTATAACTATAGCTCATTGGGTAGTTACATTAAACTGAAAATGAAGCTAACGAAATGATTGAAATACGTGCACAACAAAATTAGGCATTTAGCGGTAGAAGTTTAGTTTGGGGTCGTCCACGAGAAGGTTCAGGTAAAGGGTTTTGGGCAATCGAAGGTCCGGACATAGAGTCAGCAGCTGTGGAAGGTCCAGGCTGAATACTAAATTGTGTCTGTTCTTCAACTGAAAAAAATATTACCTTGAGAAGTAGGGTACTAAAAAAACCTAAGCGAAAATATATGTAATGATGCAAAATATTATATAAATTAATACCTTCTGTCTCTTCAGCCGCTTCAGGCAGTAAGACTAGAATTGGCTCATCCAGATCGCGTTCATCGCCAGCGATAACCTTTGAGGAAGTTGATTTGATATAATAATTGACAGCGTCTGCTCCGAAATAGTGTTCGCTTCCAACGGCAGACCCCTACGATTTCAATTTAGTTGAAATCTTAGGCGATTTTCAGGTACCACATTTCACTTTTCTGGATTCAAGTAGTTTCATATCCGCACTGCTGCACCTGACGAAAAAACCCAAAGGGTTTGTTGTTGAGCGGCAGCTTCAGGGGAAGGCGAGAAACTACTTAGATCCAGAAAAGTGGTGTTAGAAGTTGACAAAAAATGGGTTGTTCCTCATTACCACATCAAAACCCCCGGCTCCCGAAAAACTTCTCCAGCTTATATCTTACAAATGCAAGGCAGGTTGCCTAGGTCAATGTGGGTGTAAGCGGACAGGACTGTTCTGCTCCGCTCCAACATCGACGATAGTTATGATGCATAAGGCGAACGCGACCTGGATGAGCTAATTCCAGTCTCACTGCCTGAAGAGACAGAAAATATTAATTTATATAATATTTTGCATCATTACATGCATTTTTGCTTAGTTTTCTCTAGTATTACACTTCTCAATGTAGGTTATATTTTTTTCATTGGAAGAACAGCCACAATTTAGTATATTCATCCTGGAGTTATGTAATCAGCCCAAACTCGATTCACCCGACGTACGGTTCCAACCGTTAGCCACCAATCCACCCACCGTGGACCCTCAATCCGACGTTAGCCGAACACAGTCGGCGTGAATTGATTAATCAATAAATAGTGAGAGGATGTCACTAAAAATCAATTCTATTTATACCGCTCATTGTATCAAGTACATTCGTAATAAAAGTTTAAAAAATTCCTTTCTTCGAGTAATTTATTTAATTGGCGCTGCGAACAGGATAGTTAGAGTTCTGTATCAATCAGTAACTGTTATTTTTAAATAATTAACTAACTATCGACACGAATCTGTACTGCTGAGAAAAATAGTGATTGTGCAATGTGTTTTATCCTGATGGTGTAAGTATATCTGCTTTTTGGAACTGTGAAATCTGATTGTGATTATTTGACTTATTTTCGTATATTCCCCGAATTGTATCAAATTTCATTCTTAAATCAATTTTATGTCAGACCCTGTAGACGACTTAATTAACGCCATATCACTCATTGACATCAATCCATCTCTTCTGATTCTTCTCAACGATAGCGGAAATAGAATTCGCCCTTCAATTCCTACATCTGAAAGGATTGAATCTACTCCGGTAATATCTCAATTACCAGCTAGTTCAAGTAACGCTAATCTGGTACAGCCTATTGATTCCTCACACTCGATAGACATGTCCCCCCCAACCACACCTACCATTACCAACAAAGAATTGGACTCATTTGTTCAAACTATTCCATCCTTCGACCCGCAACAACCTGACACTCTTTCAACATTTATATTAGGGGTTGATGAAGTAATTCAGTTATTTTTAAATCAAACTTTTGCTATGTGTTCTAATACACAATTATATTTGCTGAATTTGCACATATTAAAACGTATCACAGGTAGTGCTCACACTTACATAAGAAATAACAAATTACATACGTTCATCCCAAATGGTTTTGGTACATGGTATGCCATTAGAGCTGCTCTATTAGATCAATTTGGACAATTAAAAACTAGAAATTGCCTTTTGCGCGAAATGACCGAAGACAAACAAAAACCGACAGAGACATACAGGGACTTCTATTTACGTGTTAACACAAAACTCAACGAACTAATGCAACAAACTCATCTTCACATACAAGATCCTGCTAAAGCAGAAGCATACAATGACATGTACCGTGAAGAAGCTCTGCAGACATTTGTTGCAGGCTTGAATTCACCCTTCCGTGAAGCCCTAAGCAATATAGAAGTTTCCACATTACGCGCGTGCATAGATCACTGCGAAAAATATAACAATATTCTCATGAGACATCGTGCCCTTCAAAGTAGATCAAATACGGTAGTTAGACCTTCAGCCAATAATAATAATATTAAATCCTTCCAAAGGCAAAATCTAACCCAAGCAGGACCATCTAATTTTAGGAATCAAATGAATCCTCAACCTAGATTTTTTAATCCTAATTATCGTAATTTTCCAAATCAAAGTAACCAAAATATTTCTCCTAAATATAACCCTCCAATTAATCAACAAATAAAAAATAATCAAATTTGGGAACCAATGTCGGCCAGAACTTCGTCGAATCGACAAAATTTGTATAACGTCGAACTTGATCCACATAATTACTCTAGTTATTATTCTACTGACCCAGATTTCAAGGACGCAAATTCAAGTAACGAGGTCGATAATAACTTTGTGTCAGCAATTGGATATCAACAACATGAATTTGTTGATGAAAAAGTAACCCATGTTTTGGATAACAATGTTTACAATCATGACTCCGAAAATGTTATGAATAACACTGACGAAACTGAAACCGAAAATTTTCAGATACTGGCTTCCAACAACAGTGCCCCATAGTTGAATTGAATAACATTCAGCATATTTCTCTTCCACATATATTCTTACCTAAATTAAATTTAAAAATTTTAGTGGATACAGGCGCTTCAGATTCCATAATGAACCCCGAAATATCGTACCGCTTTCCTGACGCTTGTAAATTTCATAATACTTGTACCGTGAAATAGTATATTACAATCCGAGACGGAAAATACTTCATTGCTGGTCGAGAGGTTATTATAGTTTATCGAGACGCGAAGCGTCGAGATAAACTCAACCTCGAGACAGAAATGAAGTTTTCCGTCGAGGTTTGTATACTTTTTTATTTTCAACCCTTAATTTTCTGATGCAAAAACTAAAGATTCTGTTATACGAAATTTTCATATAGTGTAAAACTGGCCTTAGAAAAAAATATTTCACTTTTTTTGTCAATGTCATCAATTTTGACGATCTCAAAGGCCCTGTAAAGGCCAAAACAAAAGACGAAACCACAGGAAACCGCAAAATCAACAACCATAGATAAGATCAACAACGCCTTTATGGTCGACTTACAGTATGTTGAAAACCATGATTAAATTGAAAGAGAAAGTTGATATCTCCAATTACGCAAAACTTATAGCTTTTTTGAAGCGGCAAAATCTGGGCTTTCAGCCGAAAAAGTCGAGCGTTTTTTCCAGAGAAAACATTAACGAGTTCCTCACGAAGGCAGCTGAAGAATTCATTAGCATCAAGGTAGGTTTTCAAAAAATATACAAAGAAGATAAAAATGCGAAAATCAAAATGATTTTCTGTATGCTATAGCTAGGTTACCCATTTTATTTTTATCTGGTTTCAGGTAGCGCTAATTGTTGGTGTGTCGGGTGCATGTAGGAGCGATGAACTAGTCAAGATGAAAATGGAGCACGTCAACGTTTTGGAAGGAAAGATCGCTATAGAAATTCCACACACAAAAACTTACACAAGTCGATCGTTTATCATAAGCGATCCAGATTGGGTTGCTATTTTCCACAAATACCTCACTTTGCGGAAAAATTTGAAAAATGACAGGTTATTTGTTCAATGGCGAAATGGGAAATTACATAACCAAGCAATTGGCTATCATTCAATCTCAAAATTTCCACATAAAATAGCTGCTTTTTTGAAGCTTCCAAAAATTGAAACTTTTACAGGGCATGCTTTTCGTCGTACTTCCGCAACCTTATTGGTTGACAACGGGGCCGATCTATTGCAACTCAAAAGACTGGGAGGGTGGAAATCGAGCACGGTTGCTGAAGGCTACATAGAGGCATCTTTGGAGAACAAAAGTAAGACTGCTCTGATGCTATCCTCTACTTCCAAAGGTATTCAGTTGTCCAGTGCATCCACAAGTACATCACATGCGGAAACTCATCCGCAAGCGCAAGAGATAATAGTTCCAAACGAAACACAATTCCAACAGGATGGTCTCAAGATTTCCATTATAAACAACAATGCTAATTTAACAATTAATGTAAATAAGTGAATAGATTTAATTAGTTCCATGTAATACATGTGGTTTTATTATTATATGTGAGAGCTGTATGAAAATTATCAATTTGGAACGAGCAGGGAAATGGGGACGGAAAAGCATTTGCCGTCCCGGACGGAAAATGCTTTTCCGTCCTAGGCAGGCATATGCATTACCGTCCCGATAAATGTCAAAGTCCAGAAATGTGACACTTTCAAGATTTTGAAAAACCTGCAATGTCAACATTACATATGTGGTTGAAAATAAACTATATTTGCAACCTATACAAATAATGAAAACATTAGTTTTCCCATTTTTCCGAAATAGGAATTCGAACCTCTATAAATTTTCGCATACTAAAATGGCACGACAAATATGATGTTCTTTTAGGGTCCCGAGATCTAAAACATTTTGGTGCAACTCTAAATTATGAACAACAAATAATTACCCTTTTCAATAAAACCTTGCCCTTTAGTCTTCAAAATACAAAAAATAATTTAATACCTGTCACACAAATATCCGGATATGCTGTAGTGCCTACATCAGCCGACTTCAATATCCCCCTATCAATACATAAAGTACAAAATGGACATATTTATTGGCCTGATTTGCCAGCAAATGTTACATTTGACCATCCTATAGAGGTCCACAATTTGAACGATTATGGAATAATTGTTCACCCTCTTTACCTAAAGTTCCATTAGATACTTCCCTACTACGTCTCGAACATTTGAATAATGAAGAGAAGAAAGAAATCCTAGCATTATTTCAAAAATACTCCCAATCGTTTCATACCCCTGATACGCCCTTGTCTGCTACTACACATACAAAACATTTTATACGTACCACTACGGAAACACCGGTGTATACCAAATTAAGACGTTATCCTCAAAGAAGGTATCGCAAAACAAGTAAATGACTTATTAGACGCAAAAATAATACGCCCTTCTATTTCTCGCTATTCCAGTCCCGCTTGGATAGTAGACAAAAAACCTGATGCCTCAGGTAAAAAGAAAGTTAGAATGGTAATAAATTATTCCAAGTTAAACGAACAAACTATAGAAGACAAATTCCCGTTACCACGTATAGACGAAATCTTAGATAATTTAGGTAAATCGCAATATTTCTCGTGTCTTGATTTATCTCAGGGATATCATCAAATTTTAATGGATGAACGATCCATTGAAAAAACAGCTTTTACGACGCCGCAGGGACATTTTGAGTACACAAGACTGCCCTTTGGTCTTAAAAACGCCCCCAGCAGCTTCCAAAGAGTCATGAATGAAGTATTGAGCAAGCATATTTATAAACGTTGTTTTGTTTATCTCGACGACATTATTATTTTTTCTAAAAGTTTACAACAACATCTAAACGACATAAAACTAATTTTTGACGATCTTACAAAAGCCAATCTTAAAATTCAGCCTTTTAAAATGAATTTCTTACAAAAAAAGTTGAATTTTTGGGTCATATAGTCACTCCTCAGGGAGTTTCCCATAATCCAAAAAAAATAGACCCAATTCAAAAATATCCTATACCCACTAACGTTAAAGAAATAAAATCTTTTCTAGGTCTAATAGGGTACTACAGACGATTTATCCCAAACTTCGCTCAAATAGTTTATCCTATAAACAAATGTACTCGAAAAGGTGGAAAAATAGACCCAAATGACCCATTTTATGTTAAAGCATTTCAACAAAGCAAAACATTAATTGCTTCATCACCAATTTTGGCTTATCCCGATTTCGAAAAAAAATTTAGTGTCACTACAGACGCTTCCGATATAGCCCTTAGCTCTGTTTTATCACAGGACGGACACCCTATTGCTTTTTACTCCAGAACTTTAAACTCCGCCGAAAAAAATTATTCAACTATAGAAGGAGAACTTCTTTCTATAGTCGAAGCCACAAAGCATTTTAGACCCTACCTGTATGGCAGACGTTTTTTAATACAAACAGACCATAATCCGTTAGTATGGTTAAGTAAATTAAAAACTCTTAATTCGCGATTGATCAGATGGAAAATTAAATTAGACGAATACGAGTACGATATTGAGCATCTTAAAGGAGCTGCTAATAAAGTCGCAGATGCCCTTTCCCGTGTAGAAATAAACATACACAACAAGGACGAAACCGATTCTTTGGCCCCTATGGCAATTGACAACACTCTTCCCGAACAATGCCCTACGGACGACAATACAGTGCATTCACAAGACGAAAACATCTCCTGTGGATTAACCATTTCAGAAAAACCAGTTAATATTTTCAAACATCAAATTTTAATTACATATACCGTCAAAAACAAGTACTCCTTAGTCAAAAGATTTGACAAACATATTCATGTTCTTGGTGTAACTCGCGAGACTCCTAACGAGGACATTCTTGCTCATTTTCTAGCTTTTATAAGTCCCGATACAACCTATGGGCTTTATCTGTACCATCCCGAACTTAGACCACTGGTGGAGGGGGTACTGAGTAAAAATTTCACTCAATTTGATATACGTTTGACAAAAATTAAACTGGGTGACATAATAGATGAAGACGAACAACAAGGTACAATCAAATCCACTCATAACAAAAACCACAACGGTATCTCGGAAACATACACGCATTTAAAATCAATAATCTATTTCCCTAACTTAAAAAATCACCATTTTTATAAATAATAGTGATATTTGTCAACAAGCGAAGTACGAAAGAAGACCCTACAAGGTCCCTTTTGAAGGGCCAATACTTCCTACAAAGCCTCTGGAGAACATTCATGCTGATATTTATTTTGTAAAAGGAAATATGTTTTTAACCCTGATAGATCCATTTAGTAAATATGCCCAAGTATACCATATCCCTGATAAAACCACACCGTCGATTCTAAACAAAATGAGACACTTCTTTGCTCATCCTAACTTTCCAAAAAAGATAGTTACAGACAATGAGCCGGCCTTCGTATCCGTTATGTTCAGAGAATACTTAAAATTACATGGAATAGAACACCACACTATAGCTATAGGAAACTCAAGCTCCAACTCTCCTATAGAGCGGTTTCATTCCACACTTACAGAAAAGTTAAAAATACTTATACAAATATATCCAAAAGAAGCCGTAGACAATTTAGTTATCACCCCTGTGACAATATACAATCAAAGTATTCATGCTTCTACTGGTCACACCCCTTTCAATATACTATATGGACCTTACGCTACAACACCCGCTTTTGATGAGGATTTCCCTGTATATGATTATTACGTTCAACAAAGAAAAATGGAAATGCAACCTTTTCTTGATCATGTACATAGAAACACATCTTCTAGAATGATCAGTAATCTGGACAAGACAAATAAAAATAGACAAGACTCTACTCCTGTCATACAAGAAAATTCTCGAGAATATTCCAGCTTTAAAGCAAAATATAACAAATTATCCCTAAACAAACCTATTATTGTTAATCAACAAACCGGAAATACCAATCAAGCTAAGGATTCAAGACAAAAACCTCTTAAAATGAATGTTAAGTCCCTTAAACGTTTAAGAAAAACTAAATAATTCCCTTGTTGCAGATTGGCAGTGCATGCCCTAACTCCTTCTACCCATTCGCAAAGGGTGCAATGTTTAACAGATGACCATAACGGCTACTATTCCGAAGAGATTGGAACTCAGAGAGAAATATCACATCATCATAGATTTCTTATTGCAGTTGACCTGTAACCCTTTCAAGAAATAATACACGAACTCCCTATTCCAAATCAGACACACATTAACCCACTTTTACAGCCCTTGTATGACCGACATCTAAAAGAAGTGAGAAATTAATATGCAATGCTAACCCGACGTCAAAATAACCGACGTAATCGTGGACTAATTACCGGATTAGGTTCAGTCATCAAATTTATCACCGGTAACCCAGATAATGATGATTTAGATATCATTAAATGTCATTTTGCTAACATTGAGGAGAATCAGAATAACATAATAACAACACAAAATAAATTCATTCATGTCGCAAATAACATAAACGTCAGACTTTTATCTTTTACCGCCCAAATAAACAATGACTTGATTCTTGCGAAGTCAGCCCTAAATAAAATAAACCAAAAGATTGATGATCTAATTTCTGCTAACTTGTACATCGATCACATAGCTTTGTTAGCAGAGTTCTTACGAAAAATGACTCTCACAATTAGCCTTTCTCGTCTAAATTTGGTCAATATTGAATTTTTCGAGATACAAGAAATCACTCTTATAGAGACTAAATTGTTAGAGACTTATCATGAGGACCAACTACTATACTCTATAAACCATCCTTATGAGTTATTAGAACAATCAACTATAATTACATGCATGCATAATTCGGTCCTTCGACTTATATTAAAGATACCAATCTTAAAGCCACAAGTTCAATCACTCTATCAGATCTTCCCACTTACAAGAGCGGATGATACAATGCTACTTAATCCTACTGAATTTTACTCTAATAAAGTTTGGTATGATAAGTGCATCTTGCACAAGGAAACAAAATATATTTGCAGTAATCCTAGACCAAGCAATTGCAGTTTCGATCAACAAATAAAAAGTTGTCTGCACGTCAAACTACTTCATACAATGGACTACTACAAGATTACACAGAACTTTGTTGTCATTACAAACAGAGATCCCGCGACCATTGGATGTCCTACGTCATGGAAATGTAACATGTACATTGTAAACCGCAACTGCAGTGTTGACCCGTTGCCGTATCAGCTTCCGCAAGTCGCCCTGCCAGAACTACCGCCGTCATTCCAAATTCACTTAGAGGAAATCCGCATACCCGGAGGCACTCATCTAGAGGCTGTTCAAAGAATCACTCTGCCCGAAGTAGTCTCCTGGACCGTGCAGTCAGTCTGCGGTTTTCTGTTCTTAACCTTACTATTATTTGTAGTTATCAAACGCAAGCGAATCCACCGCTTGTTTATAGGATCAAAGCCAACCGTCGCTGCCCTACGCTCCGTTCTAAGGGGGGAAGAGTTATGTAATCAGGCCAAACTCGATTCACCCGACGGACGGTTCCAACCGTTAGCCACCAATCCACCCACCGTGGACCCTCAATCCGACGTTAGCCGAACACAGTCGGCGTGAATTGATTAATCAATAAATAGTGAGAGGATGTCACTAAAAATCAATTCTATTTATACCGCTCATTGTATTAAGTACATTCGTAATAAAAGTTTAAAAAATTCCTTTCTTCGAGTAATTTATTTAATTCTGGACCTCCCACAGTTGCTGACTCTTTGTCCGGACCTTCGATTGCTTTAAACCCTTTACCTGGATTGGACCTTCTAGCGGACGATCCAAAACTAAACCCATAATATACTCATCTTCTGCCTTATTTTGTTTTTCAGATGGAGGACCCACTCAAAGGAATGATGATACTGTGCAAGTATTTCAATCATTTCGTTAGCTTTTTTTTCAGTTTAATGCAACTATCGAATAAGTTGTAAATATAATTTCTCAATGTTTTCATCAAACATGGCTTGCCATGTAACCCTTTTGAAAAATGGTTCTCATAAAAATCTTTATTTTCTACTTTACTATTATAGATCCATAATACCTAGGAAACGAAATACGTTAACACACCTATAACAACCTGATCCATAACGCCCGCTTTTGCGGGCGTTATGATCTATAACGCCCGCTTATAATACCTTAAGGTGTTTTTGTTGTTGTTGTTCTATTAATTTGCACTTTACCCTAGGCAGCCACTAAATGTCTGACCGAAAATAATTTTCGGTCTAGCCAGGATTCGAACCCGGTCTAACATCAACGTTTCCCATGTAGTCCAGCGCGTTAACCCACAGGACCACCACCGTTGCCTTGCCTTATGAGATGTTTATAGATATATTAATGTATTTGGTTTCTATGTACAGGTCGCAGGTACAGGTACAGGTCACAGGTACAGGTACATGTCAAAATACAAAACAATATTCTGTCACACAAGTTTAACTGATTTTGTTAATAACAAATTGATGAAAAAACATTGTGTTGAGTAGAAAATAAAGCATTGTATGCACCACGGGGATTTCAAGATTATAATGCCCTTCAGGCGAAATATATCCCTCGGGCCATAGGCCCTCGGGCTAGTTTCGTCTTCGGGCATTATAATCTACATAATCCCCTTGGTACATAAATAGCTATTATGAGAAAATTAAATATGGCAGACATCTTTTTTATGATATTTGATGTACTCGCACGTGATGAAACGGTCTATTAACATATTATATTTCTTTGGTTGCAGGGGATGAAAGTGGGTGTTTTAGACGTTTTTGTGAAAATACAAAAAAAAAAACATTGCTTTTCACTGAGCACTAGCACGGTGACCGCTTACCATAAAATCGAAGGCGACTAGTGCATTTTCTAGGAAATTTTATTCACTTCAATTTTGTAGTGAACGCTGATCTTCAAAAAACGTATAGTTTTTGAGATATAAGCCAAAAACTGAAAAAAGTGTTGAAAAATTCAGGTTTTTTGCATTTTTGGCTATGAAGCCGACCTCCTACAAGGCAGCAAACCATAAATTCGGTTTCAGCATCCTCGAAAACATATAAAACCATTGAAAAAAAATCGCAGTTTTTTTACGAAAACGGCAGTTTTAAACATGCATTAACTGGACTATTTAAGCCCGTCTGCTATTTGAATGCGACCGTCTGCCAGGGTTTTTTTTTTAACTTTGGTTAGTAACATATTTAGTAATATTTTGACACAAAAATAACAGTGGTAACCTATGAGGTAGTTGATGGCGTTTTTTTGACTTTTGAGAAAAAATTTAATTTAATAAAGCGACCAGTTACGCTCGGCAGATGACGTAGTTGTTTTTACTGCCAGCTCTCGGACTAATACAAGATAGTATAGGTTTATTCAATCTTCTAGGGAATTTACTCGAGCTATTTGTGCAGAATTAAATATTGACAATGCATTCAATAATAATATTATATTTGAACTCTCTGACAATCTGAGGTTCAAAATATTATCTTAAGTTCTTGTAAACTTGGCTGTAAGAATAGTGGACTTTGGTAATACATGATTCATGTGTAGATGATACGGACGCTGTACGAAACTTACGGTAATGATGAATGAGCTCCCTTTTTTCAAAGATTCGAAAGGGGATAATCGTGATCGACTCAGTGGTGACTGGGATTTTACATTAGGACTTTGGATTTAAAATTAAATACTTAATAACACTTTTTATTAAATATAGACATCTTTTGAGTATCTCCATCGAAAATAGAATAGATAAATTCACTTCCCAATAAATATATGTGTTTGGAATTTGAATAAATATACTTCTCTATTTCTAAATAAAGATATCGCTGAAGTATATTCGTCAGAAATGCACCTAATAGATAAATAGGTGAGTTCCTCCTGATCAATTTTCCAGTTAATATTTTCTGTTTCCAGAACGCAATTTCGCTAGCAAATAAATTATTAATTGCTGTCCGTACAATGTTTGGTTGGTAAATAGTGCGGAACATAAATATCAATATTAACGTCGCATTTCAATCCAGAAACTATTTTATAAATTTGCATGGCACAAATTAATTTCCAGTGGGATTTCCATCATCACCAGAACTCTGACTATGGGTTGTTTATATGAGGCCGATTATGTATTTTTGAAATTTGATAAATAATCCAGAAGTTATTTATTTGAATTGTTCGATATGAACTATTATGTCAATCAAATGTAGTCGTTTATTTGTGATGACTTTTGCTTATTCCAGGGGTTGTTCAGTGGAATGAAGTAACAAGATTCAATGTCTTTGTTTTTTAAACCAACAACAACAATGACTTAAACCTACTGTTTGATAAAATAATATTAAAAAATCTTCACACAAAATGGATGGTCGTTTACTGATCGACGCTACCCACATAACAAAATTGCATCCTTAGAATGTATTAAGAATGTTCTTTTTTTAAGAGGAATGTACCTAGAATGTTCGCCAAAACTATTGCGAATGTCCTGAGAATGTTCTGAGAAAAGATTGTAGAAATACTGTTTGCAATACCCAAGAACTTCCTGGAAAATCCATTAGAATATTCTTCCTAGAATATACCTATGAGATTCTCAGTACATCCTGAAAAGAATATTCCTGTTTGATTCTAAAAATATGCTCGAAATGTATATTCTCACATTCAAAGAATGTTTCTATGACATTATAGTTATGTTCTCAAAAGAATATTATACCAATGTGCTTGAAATATTCTTAGAATATATATATGTACCATCGTCACCAAAAGTAACTGGGACAGCATCACATTAGCTCCTGTCCTATTATGTGAATTTTATTGTCAAATATTTGTCAAACTATAATTCAAATGCATTGAAATGAATGACAGTAGAATTAGTCCAGGAGATTATTATGCATTATTTGTGTCCCAGATACTTTTGGTGACGATGGTACATATATCATTCTCAATATGTATCCTAGACATAACATTCTTGTTTGATTCTAAGGATATACTTGGAATGTTAATTTTCTTTTCCAAATAATACTCCTTCCAGTCCTTTTATATTAAAGGCAGTGAAAGAATTGTTGGAAAATTTCTCTGGAAAACACAAGTGTTTAACCAAAGGTCCGGTTTCGAGCTTATTATGCTCTCGTCGTAGCACGCCAACTGAGAGAAACAGGTTCCAAGGTGATTCAAACGCGAGGCAACATGTAGATCTTTAATAGCGCGTGGCTCCCTCTCTTGGAAGTCCTACAAAACAAAAGAAAAATAATATACCTATAATATTCTTAGTAGGTTCTAGATAGAGCATTATTGTTTGATTGTTCAATTAAATTTTTGAGTAGGTACTTTAGATAATTAGGTGAACAATATGGAAATATTCTTATCATGGGTACCTACCTACATTAACTTCTCAGCACAACTTGGTAGGTATATTCCTAATACTTGATAGAGATATTAGCCGAAAGAACGTTTTTTAGGGTACATTATAATAATTTTCGTATGAGAATATTCAAATAATGTTATATAAAGTAGGTTCTTAGCACAATCTTTCAGGTAGGTGCATAGAAGCAACATTCCTAGTACATAAATAGAACGTTCAAAAATGAATGTTTCAATCGAAACAATCTTAGAATATTCATTGAACATTCCTAAAAGAACATTCCAAAAATTACTTAGAGGGAATATTCTGAGAATATGAATGTTCTTTCACTGTTATGGGGGTAACTATCGCTGAAATTGACACGACAAATCGTCCTTTTGTGTCCTCTGGAAAAACAGTCCACGGCAAATAATGGGAAACGCGAAAGCCGATAGTTGCCGTGAAATACGTTTCGATGACGATAAAACAGAAATTTATTGTTGAGTTATTATTTCATTTCCGATGCCACTAGCATAAATGATTGTCCCAGGACAAAAACTCGGATTTGCAAACTTGAATAGGTACTCATGATTATGCATGGGACACCGCACAAACAAAACTAGTCGACATTTTATATCCTTATTTCGTATAGAAGAAATCCCTCGATAATCTCATTAGCATATTCGCTAGCGGGGATAGAGGTTTTTTGTCAATACGACGTTTCGGGCTGTGACATCTATTTCTGATGAAAAATAGGGTCGCGTTTTTCATTTAGATAATGACTTCAATTTGGTTCGGCAAACAGAAGAAATTGCAAATTGGCTACTAAAGTTCAATTAATGCCTCACTTTAGTCGAGCGCTTAACGAAATAAAAATGTATTTCAAATACTTTCGCTAAATTAGTCTTAAATTTTTGATGAACTTTCGGCGGCTGAACGTTTAAAAATTGGTTTGGGTTATGAGATAAGGCTTGGTATTTTTTTTAATAATTGAAAATGTCTATTTACGTTTTTACATCAGGGAATAAGTATTCAACATTCCTATAGCCTATTTATTACTGAACAGTTAAGTAGCAAATAGAACACACAAGTATGTATACATGTCCTCATAATGTAGCTTTATTACTTGGGTATACTCCCAGAAGAGAGTCTTGCACGGACTTTTGCTTATTTGATTAAAAATAACTAAATCCGTATTCAAACATATCATTGTATAAATTGAAGATTTATATTTGACGCTATCTTTGTTTGCCCAGATACAACTTTGAATTTC